ATGGTGAAGGTGGCATGCAAAAAGCCTTTCAAACAGAATAATTGATCAAGTGTCAATATATCGCGTTGCAAAAGGACATGTACCTTACCGCTGGGCTTTTACCTGAACAGGTGTTACGTAATTTTGACTGCTTGTCTCTTTGAGTCCTCAGTTCGAGCGGAAGGTTTGTTAACAGCATTGTATTCGTAACCACAACATTGAAAAATGAAAATATCGGAGACAAACCAAATTTTTTGATGGATACACAATAGGTACAACTGACATTTGAACTTTGAGTCTCGTTTACTTTAATTTTGAATCTCAAGGTTCTTATACCCGTTTTATAGTCATCCAGAGCAAGAGAAAGGATGATCGGACACATGCGCACTAAGAAACTGATTCTCCTGTCATTTCTATGCAACTGCTGAAAATCGATCAGTTCCAGTACTTCCAAATCTTTTTATTACATAAATGCCCGGCTAGCTCAGTCGGTGCAGCATGAGACTCTTAATCTCAGGGTCGTGGGTTCGTGCCCCACGTTGGGCGCCATAGGTTACCCTCGTGCCAGGGGGTGGTTGTAGATGCACTTCCCTGCACGATGAATGTTACTTCTGGGGTTCGAAGTGGTTGTTTGATTTGAAGGATTAGGGTGCCGGGGGAAATGAAAGATGAAGTTAGTTAAGTGAAATTAGCTGCTTAACTAAAGGGTTGTCCAATAGGGACGCAGGAAAGTAAACGTCAATTTGACGTAGACGCCATCTTTGTTTCTGTCACCGACATGTCATTTTGTTAGTTGAATGTTTACCATTGATCGCTATGGAGTCGTATTCGATTGAAGACCGCATGAAAGTTATTCAAGAGCACTACAAAATGGTGCAAAATAAAAAACACGTTTCGCGCGCTTCGTGAACATTTCGGTCGCAACAACCGCCCAGACGAAACAACCATCGGTCGTCTGGTGCGTAAATTCGAGGCAACAGGTTCTGTGGCAAATCTGCCAGGCTCTGGCCGGCCAAGGAGCGTTCGCACACCGGAAAATATTGCTGTTGTGAAGGAGAGTGTGAGAGACGATCCGAAACAATCAACAACGCGTCGATCCCAAGAATTGGGCATTTCGAGAACCAGTTGGCTCCGCATTCTCCACAAGGATTTGAATGTACACGCCTACAAGATCCAACTGACGCAAGAGCTGCGTCGGGCCGACCATTTTTCGCGCCGAACGTTCTCAGATTGGCTCCTTGAACACCGCCAAATTGACGCCAATTTTTCATCAAAAATCATGTTCCGCGACGAAGCGCATTTCACTTTGAATGGGATGGTAAACAAGCAAAACTGCCACATCTGGGCGATTGAAAATCCCCGTGGGTATCAAGAGCAGCCGATGTATCCTCAACAAGTGGCTGTGTGGTGTGCTTTGTGGTCAAAAGCATCATCGGACCTTACTTTTTCGAAAATGCGGCCGGGACGCCGTTACCGTCAATTCTGAGCGATATCACGTGAGGATAGTGGACTATTTTTGCCGCAACTTGAAGGAATGGATATGGACGATGTTTATTTCCACCAAGACGGTGCAACATGCCACACAACCAACGTCAATATCCATCGATTGCAGTCCTTCTTCGGTGATCGCGTGATTTCGCGCAGAGGAAATGTGCCATGGCCACCAAGATCGTGCGATTTGACTCCCTTGGACTTCTTTTTATGGGGATATTTGAAAAGCAAAGTCTACGTCAACAAACCAGCCACCCTCCAAGACTCAAAAACAACATCATTGCCGAGATAAATGCCATAGAACCCACCATGTTGCAAAATGTCATTGAAAATTTCGACCATCGCGTGGACGTCTGTAAATCCAGTCGTGGTGAACATTGATTTGAGCGATATATTTTTCATACATAAATGGTATAAATGAACCTTCAAAATAAAGTACCCAACTTGATTTGAATATCAATCTTTCTTGTTTTAATATGCGTTTACTTTCCTGCGTCCCTGTGGACATTGGCAACAGCTGAATCGGCTCCCTTCCTCAGGGCTGCTTGGAACTCTCATTACAGGGCAGGCTGTGGAAAAGTCGTCAGGGCTTCATCTGAAGGTATCAGCAGTAGTTTGGTGGAGGAAAACGTAAGGTGAAGAAGACGAAAAGTTGGAAAGAAGAAGATGAAAAAGGCCTGAAACAAAAATTCAATATGGCGCCGGGTTCCATTTTAACGCAAGCCGAATTGCTTACCTCTGTTGGAGTGTGGCCTAGAACGCCGTAAAAGCGTCGAAGACTCCCGTCTCCCACATCCCCGTAGGATTATATGAGACATAAAAAGGAAGAACGCTTAGACTTCATTTGGCGTAAAGATCCGCAAAATGCGTGCTTCTCAACAGAGCTACGATCAAAAAGTGAAGTTTCTTCAACGTGGACACGGAACACAAAGTTCGAGAGGAGCAATGGAGCGATGGAACAACAGCGGACTGAAAGGACCGAACACTTGTCAAACATTGAGGTTAGGAAGAAACGAAGACCGTAAACAATTCTCAGATGAAGGGGCCTGAACTACAAAATGAGATAATAGGTGGAGAGTTACGTATAAACCATAGAGAAAATCTTCAGGTAGTTAAACTAGAAATATGTCTACCCTTGTTTAGTGTTTACGATTATTGCAGGGTCACGGCAGTTCCTACAAGGTTTGGACCCAGTTAGTAGTAGAGCTAAGAGAGTTCCACAGCGGAAGTGAGATAAAACAGCCGCATTAAACCCGTAACAATAGCAGTAATTATGCTCAAATAGGTATATGCTTGTATCCACGAATCTGCTCGGATCATAACTTTTGATTCCTGTTGAGGTATCGTTCCTTTATAACAATTC